CGCGGCAGGACGCTTCTCCAGGCGGTACAGAGCCGGGGCGATCGAGGCCTGCGCGTCGCGCACCTGCGCTACGCCTCGGAGCCGTTCAAGCTGGGCCAGCTGTCGGGCAACGAGTTCACCGTGACGCTGCGCAACGTCAAGGCGCCCGGCGGCGACGAGTCGGTCATCCACAAGGCGATGCAGACGATCCGCGAGCGGGGTTTCATCAACTACTACGGCATGCAGCGCTTCGGCACGGGCTCGGTGCCGACGCACGAGTTTGGCGTGCTCATCTTCAAGGGCGACTACCGGGGCGCCGTCGAGCTGCTCTTCGAGGAGCGCGACAGCGACGGCGACGAGATGCGCGAGGCCAAGCGCCTCTACCGCGCAGGGCGGGTCGAGGACGCGTTCCACGCGGCGCCGCGCAACTGCGTGGCGGAAAAGGCGGTGCTCGACAAGATGCGCCGGCGCAACTTTACCGCGGGCGACTACCTCGGCGCGTTTGCCAACATCCCGCGCACCCTCCGCCTCATGTACATCCACGCCTTCCAGTCGTACATCTGGAACCGGCTCGTCTCGGAGCGCATCCGCAGATTTGGCCCGGACAGGCCTGCCGTGGGCGATCTGGTGCTGCTCGACGGCGACGATGCCGACGAGGGTGGCGATGGTGGTGCCGACAACGATGGCCAAGGCGAAGGCGAGGGCGAAGCGGAGCAGGATGGCGTGGCCGACGGCGAGGTCGACGGGCCTGCCACCAAGCCCACGTCGTCGTCCGCCACCAACGCCACCACGACGACCGCCGGGACGCCCGCATGGAAGCGACCGGCCAAGGTGCTCACGGAGTCGGACATTGCGACGGGGAGCTACAGCATCCACTCGGTAGTGATGCCGCTGCCGGGCATCGACATCACTTTGCCGAGCGGGTGGATGTCGGAGCTGTACGACAGCCTGCTGTCCGAGTCTGGGCTCACGCCGGCCGACCTGACGCAGAGCAAGCAGGAAGAGTACCGGCTGCGCGGCTCGTACCGCAAGATGATCCAGCTGCCCCGCGACTTTTCCTACTCCCTCGTCCGGTACACGGATCCCGACGTTGCGCTGACGGTGGCCGACGAGGATCGGTGTCTGGGCCTCTTGCCGGAGGGGTCTGAGGTTGATTCGGAGCCGCAGCCGCAGCAGCAGCAGCAGCAGCAGCAGCAGGCGGAGGAGGCCGTGACACAGACTGAGGTTGGCGGCGAAGCCGAGAGCCGCAACGACGTTGCCAGCGACCAAGCTGCCGATCCCGCCAACGCGGTTGGTACGGAATCGACGCCGAGCAACGACGCAGACGCATCCACCGTTCCAGACCCTGCGACAGAGGCAGACGCAACGACTGCGACGACGGCAACAACAACGACGACGACGACGACGACGAAGACGCCGCGCGATCCGTTCCTGGCGCTGCTGCTCAATTTCAAGCTGCCGGCATCGGCGTACGCGACGATGCTGATGCGCGAAGGGCTCAAGAGCGACACGTCGTCGTTCAAGCACCGCCTCATGACGCAGTCGAGCGAGGACCAGGCGTACAAAGGCGGACGTCGATCCGCACCCCCCCGTGGTGATGGCGGTGGTGGTGGTGGTGGTAGAGGTCGTGGTGGCGGAAGAGGTCGAGGTGGAAGAGGAGGAAGGGGAGGAGGGGGGAGGGGGAGGAGGAGGGAGAGGAGGAAGACAGCAGGGTGGCGTCAACGGTATTACCAGTGGCAAGGTGAGGAGCTGGGGCGGCGCTGCCTAGATTTTTTGCTTCGATGCAGCGTCTCGCGGCAAGGGTGGTGGCAAATGAGACTTTGTAATTAGACGAGAAGGGCCAAAGAGAGAGGCGGTCGTACCAATCAAGGCGTCGAACGCAGGGTGGGGTGGCAAGGGACTGCGGGCTCGACGTGCGTGCCTCGTCCCGCCCCGTCTCGCTTCAACCCACCCCCGCCGCCGTTGGTCAGGCATCAAAGGTTCCAGAGACAGCAGAGCAGAGACGAGGGGAGGCGATCAGCGGGCCAAGCTGAGCGAGGCATCGAAGCTGGGCTGGGCGAATCGAGTACAAGTACAGCGGTGACGACGTCGTCGTCGCACGGTCGGTCGGTCGGTCGGTCGGATAGGGTGGCGCGGCGCGGCATAATCAGGGGGGGGGAGGTCTTTAGGGCGATAGAGAATAGGGCGGGGCGTCCGGACGTGGCGGAGCAGAGCAGGGAGGGGGGGGGGGGGCAAAGACAGGGCAGGGCAGCGCCCCGATCCGACCCGAGCCTAGGCAGCCTGCTTCCTCGCCCGCTTTTGCTCGACGGACCCGCCAGCAGGCGCTTCGCCGCTCCGCTTGGACCGGCTAGCGCCCGTCGGTGAGGTCGCCGTCGTCGGCGCCTTGGACATGCTGCTCAGCCCGGACGCGGGCGCGCTGGCGCTGAGCACGGCCCCGTCGAGGCTGGCAAAGGTGCCTGCACTCGCCTTGCCACCGAGCGAGATGCGGCCGCCACCGGCCGGGTGGATGGCGTCCTGCGTCCGCGACGGGGCGCGCGGAGATGCGTGCGGAAAGGGCGACAGCGCCGATGGCGCCGGGCTGCCCGAGGCAGCTCGCGAATGCCGGCCGCGCTGGATAGCGCCGCCGCCGCCACCGCCGGGAAGCGACGTGGCCGAGTCGGTGCGCGCGATGGCCCGCTTGGCAGGCGATGCGGTGCGCGGCGATGTCTTCTTCTGCGCTGCCGCCCCGGACCGGGTCCGCGCTGCCCCGGCGCCCCTGGTCGGAGACGTCCTCCGCGGCGTCGCCTTCGTCACGCTCGTTGGCGCCAGCGGTGGCGAGCTGAACGACGTCCCCAGCATCGTCGTCGGTTGCGGGTAGCCCCAGGAATGGCTGGGCAGCCCGATGCGCGAATTCTTGCGGCTCCACACCGAGACAAAGAGAATCCGCTTCATCTTGCGGTTGTAGAAGAACGCAAACGTCGACCAGAGCAGGCCGGCGCCCGTGCCGTCCAAGTCGTCGTCTTCGACGAATCCGGACGCGTCGTCAAACGACGAGTAGCTGCCGCTCTCGACGCCGAAGCGCGCCTTGGACGGGGAGAAGCCGCGCGAGGGCAGCGCGACATTGTGGCTGCCGGGCGTGCGCGGACCGGAGCTCATCGAGGTGGCGCTCGTGTTGCCGTCCCTCTCGCCGCCGCCTAGGCCGCCGCCGTAGACGTCCTCGTCAAACATGGGGTCGTCGACCATCTCGTCGTCGTCGTCGTCGGCGCCTCGCGGGCGAGGCGTGCCCTCGTCGCGCATGTCGGCGTCGTCGCCGTCCCAGTAGTCGTCGAAGGGGTCGTCGTCGCCAAAGTCGCCCTCCTCCTCGGGCTCGGCGCTGGCGTGCGGATCCGAGTCCATGTCCGGATGGAACGTGAACACCTCGCACTCGGACACGTTCATGATGTCGTCGAGGATGCTCGAGAGGGCCGGGTGGGTGATGAGGGGCGGCAGGTTGAGCGTCTTTGACGCGTCCGGCCCAAACGAGAAGCCGCCGGGGGATGACGTGGTCAGGGCGGTCTCTTCAAACGAGCCAGAGAGCGAGCTGTAGGAGCGCGGCGCATTGGACGTCGTCTTGAGGCTGAGGAGAGTGGTGCTCAAGCTGTTGAGGACCATGGCGGGGCTGATCTCGCGCCGGAAGTCGGTCGGGTTGACCTCGCTAAAGTCGTGATCCGGGAAGGCGACGTTGAGCGTGGCGATCAGCAGGAAGAGGGTCTTGCGCGCCGAGGGCTGGTCGAGGCGGCCAAAGGGCGATGCGAGGGCCTCTTCGAGGTAGTCAGGGGGCGAGGTCGAGGCGGAGCGGAGGTAGGACGACTCGAGGCTCTTGAAGAGGCGCTTCTCCTTGGTCACAGTCTTGCACGAGTAGGCCTCCATGCGGGTGAAGACCTTGCACTCTGCCGACTCAAAGGTGAGGGCGCGCGAGAGGAGCTCGAGCTCGGGGTATTCGAGGTACTTCATGTCGTCGAAGTGGTCTGTCGCGGCGGTGTTTATTTCAGCCAGGCGCGGGGAGCCTGCACGTCAGCATGCAATCCTGCAGCAGTGGCAGCTGGGGCGACGACGGCGAGGTGCGGCCAGGAGCGCCGCAGCCGGACCTGGTCGCGCAACGCCGTCGTCGAGCTGCCATCCATGTGGGCGCTTGAGATGCGCCGTAGGGGCTGCGTCGGTCAGGTCGGTGGCGGGCGCACCATCGAGGGATACTCACGCCGCGTGTCTCGTCTTTCAGGCTCTGGGAAAGAGGCGATTGATTGTTCAATCGAGCCGTGTTCGAGGATTCAACGGGCCAGTGAGGCGGGCAAGTAGGCGCTCGTGCGGGCAAACGAGGGCAGCTGGGATGGAAGAGGGAGCTAGGCGGTAACCGGTGGCTCGACCGACGCGTGGAGGGCGCCAGCAGAGGTTACGAGGGTCGGATGCGCAAGAGTGGGGGAAGGGATTGGTCCGAACACGCCGTGGATTGGGTGCCCGATGCAGCGGTTGATGGCGGCTGCGGTCGAGATTGAGGGTCGGGACCGTGTGCGCAGGTCGACTGCGGTGGGCTGCGTTCGTCTATCTGGCGATGCGGGCGGGGGTCCGTTCGCGGCCAAGTTGGGTCAGCGGGTGGTTGCTGTGCGTTGGCGGGTTGGCGCGTCGCGCGATGTGCTTGCAGAGGGGAGGTGGGTGCAGCCGCTGTTGTGGCAGTGGTGCGAGTGTGCTGGCGAGAGTCGGGGGATGTGGATGTGGTGGTTGATGGTGTTGATATTGATGGTGGTGGCCACGAAGGTGGCGATGGCGATGGCGATGGGGCGATGGGGCGATGGCGATGAGACAGGCCAGGGACGAGGGACGAGGGGGGCGCACCGGAGCGAGCGCGAGACCCAGGCCGGGAGGAGCCGCGCAGTGTGGCTGTGATAGCACCCGCCTGCCTGCTGGCCCTGCTTTCCGCCTCGGTGTCTGTCGCTTGGTTAGGGTAGCCCGTAGCCTGGCGCGCCCCCCTCTTTGCTTGCAGTGAGAGCCAGGTAGGTACCGCCTGTAGCAGCGGCTCAAGGCCCCTCGGGCTGGTCCCCTTGAGCCTGCCAACGTGGGCTGCCCTACGGCCGCGCCCAGCGTCCATCGGCGCATGCGAAATCGGCGCATCCCTCCGACCCTCGCTCCGTCCGCCCGTCGTGGGCCGGCGCTCCCGGCGGCGCTTTGCTCTCCCCCCTCGACCGGGGGCCTTTCTCCTTGCTGGCATCCCAACCAACGTGCTCGCACGCCGATCGGGTTGGCGCGCTCGTCGCTTGCAAGCCGTTGCTCGACACTCATACACTCTGGCCTGCTCGCACCCAACCCGGCGCTAGGGCTGTATAACGGCGTTTACCACCACCACCACCCCTCTGAATGTCATTCGTATCAGAGCGGCTAGTCGGTCGTTGATAGGCAGGCGCACGGCTCAAGGCAGGCAGGCAGGGTCCAGCTGTACATGGCCGAGATGCTGCCAACGACGCCTACCTGTCTGCTTTTGGCTTTGCGGGGGTGATCTTGCGATGGGTCAGTGATGCCTGCCTGCCTGCCACAGGCTAGGCCAGTCGCCTTGCCTCTGACGACAGACAGACAGCCTAGGCCTGCTTGCCTTGCTCCCTTGCTTGGTTCCATCCAGCCAGGCAGCGCTGCCACCTCGTCCTCGATGAGAGCACCTCGACCTGATTGGACCGAGGCGTCGAGGGCCGTGCCGTGCCTCGCCATGCAGCCAGCCCCGGCGCACCGGCAGCCGCACCGTGCAAAATCGTACGAGTAGGCGCTCAATCGGGGCGACCTACGACTTGTTGGCATCGGGCTGCCAGGTCTTCAAAGGCCCAGACGACGATTCTACCTCAACACACGGCCCTGGCTGCCTGCGTGGAAGTGCACCCCAACCGTCCACGCTTCGCTTCCTTCTTTCCTCTGCCAGGCGCAAGGGCGAGAGCTCGGGGTCGCTCTCTTGGAGCGTCGTCCCTCGTCGTCGTTGAGCTGTGCCTCTGTGCAAAAGGTTATCACACATGCACTTGCGGCGTCGAGGGGGGAGCGATGGGCCAGGCCCGACAGGATTCCCGATTTCCCTGCCTTTGCCTGGCCTGGCACGCCTGCCTCTGCGCTGGGGACCGAGCGCGTTGAGAGGCAGAGGCATCAGAGACAGGCCGCCAACAGCCGGCCAGGGAGGGCGCCTGCCAGCGCGCGCGCGAGTCCACGCGCGGAAGGCGAGGCAGGCAGGCGAGGCCGGGCTGGCTGGCTGCCAGAGAGGAAAAAGAGCCGGCCTGCTTGCTTGCTTGTTGGCTTGCGCTTGCCAGGCTGTCAGAGAGGCGACAACCTCCCCTGGCCTGGCCTGGCCTGGCCTGGCCTGGGCGGCGGGCGTGTCACTTCCCCCTCCTCTCCCTCTGCCTCCCTAATCATCACCACCACCACCACCACCCTAACCCCACCCACCCACCGCTTCGCACACGCCCTTGTCCCCTATTCCGCTCAACGCCTGGCGGCTTTCCCTCTCCACTGTCGGCGACGTCGTACCCCATCATCACATTACGCTTCTCGCCATCTTGACCGCATTCATCACGACGCAGAGAGCCCCGGCCATCGACACGCCCTCATCTCGGCCCACCCTGCTCCATCCTCCAGCCTGCCTACCAGCGTAGCCCTCCACCTGCACCCTCACCAACCACTCCCGCCATATCGCCTCTAGACATGCCGCCGGTCCGCCGCCGCTCGCCTCGTGCCACCCCGCGCCGTGGCAGGTCCTCCTCGGTCGCTTCGGCCGTCTCGGTCTCCTCGACCAACGGCGCCTCGTCGCCGCCCCCCTCGGCATCCAAGCCCAAGCGTACCAGGAAGCCCAAGACTGTACGTCCGGCGCTCCCCACCGAGAGAAACCCTCGCCTCGAGAACCACCCCGACCAGCCCGTCAGGCTGCAGCTCATCGAGCGTGAGAACCAGTGAGTGCCGTTGCCATACCGGTCATGCACCCGACGTGCCTCGGTCCGAATCTGACGCCCACCTTGCACCACTCCCGCCCACCTCCACGCCAACAGGGAGATCATCGTCGGCCGCGTCAAGCTGCCGTCCGTCAACGGCAATGACCACGCCTTCCTCCTTAAGAGGTAAGTCTGCCCGCTTTGCCTTCAACCCACAGTCGCCCTCTAGCACTGGCCCTTCAATGTCGTCTGACCATTCGCTTGCTCCTTCTCTCGCACCCTACACGCAGGTTCGACACCGATGCCGTCGCCGCCACCTCAATGTTCCGCGTCGCCTTCCCCTTCGCCGACGAGGCCGCCGAGGCCGCTGAGATGAAGTACCTAGAGACCCGCTACGACACCGACCGAGGCAATGGCGGCCGCATCACGATCGCCCAGCCCGGCGTCAACGAGACTCCAGTCAAGCGCGGACGCGGACGTCCGAGGAAGAGCGAGACGCCGCGCAAGGACGGCGCGACCACGACCGACAACGAGTCCGTCGCCGGCAGCTCCACGTCCGAGGCTGTCAAGGTGCTGCCTGCCGGCAGCACGGGAGTCCGTCTGCAGGGCACCTGGATCCCCGCCGACGACGCGGCCGAGGTGGCTCAGGAGTACGGCATCCTCAAGTTTGCCCAGCCGCTCATCAAGGCCGCCGCCAAGATGGCCGAGGACAGCAGCGGACCCGTGCTAATCGAGGCCACCCCGCAGAAGCCCGCGGAGAAGAGGGGCCGCCCCAGCAAGCGCGCAAAGAAGGCGGCCGGGGATGACGAGGAAGAGGACCAGCTCGCCGGCGACGGGTCGGCGACGGACGCCTCGACGAGCGGACCCTCGGCGCCGCGGATGGGCATGATGCGCACCGACGTCTTTGACGAAAGCGGCCACCTCTCCTCCATCACCATCGGGCCGTACATCGAGGGCATGTCCGCCGACGAGGGCGGGGACGACGAGGATGACGACGAGGTGCACTACTCTGGCCGCGTCCCGATGCCGCCGCGCCGAAAGCGCGTTCAGCGCGAGACGATTCCCGAGGAGGAGGCAGCGACGGCCGCCCCTGCCCTCTCTGGGCCTGCGCCGCTCAGCCAGGCCGAGATTGACGCTCAGATCGAGGAGGCCAAGGCGCTTGCCGCTGGCGTCCAGAGGGCCGCAGCCACCATCGCGGCCCCCGTGGCCCGCGGCCAGAAGCGCACCGCCGTCAACGACACGCCCACCGCAGACCTCACCGACGCGCTCGACGATGACGAGGACTACGCTGCTGAGGGCGGCCGTGTGGTCCGGGCCTTCCGCCGCGGAACGCGCGTGGCTCGCCGACGACCGGTGGCCACCACGGCGGGTGTGCTGACGGCCGCCGGTGCGCTGGGCGCTGCCGGTGCCGCCTACATGACGGGCGTCGACGTCAACACGGCCTTCCAGACCATCTCGCAGACGGTGCAGAGCCTGGGCCTGCAGAACTGGTTCTTCTAGAGGCCCGCTGTCGTCTTCGTCGTTCTGGCGGCGGCCCTGCTGCGGCTGCAATCGTCGTCGAGACCGGAGCCAGGCCCCTCGCGCTTCCCTCGTATACGCACACACACAAATCTCCGTCCTCCCTGCAAGAGGCGATATACCAAGTCCTTTTTCGTCCCACTCTCGTCGGCCATCACCGACCTCTGTCCTCCCGTCGCGGCCGCCCGTCGCCGCTGTCTATAATCCATGGACAAGGTCCGTCCTGGCTTCTCTTGTTGTCGATTTCTTCAGCCCCCTTCCGCTTGGCTCTTCTTTCTCCTTCGTTGGTATCACACACGGAGCGCTACGCCGCTTCGTCCGAATCCCTGTACCTGCCCTAGTCGATCCTCTGTCTACCGTTCATCTCCTCTCTCTCCCTCTCTCTCTCTCTCTCTCTCTCTCTCTCTCTCTCTCTCTCGCGCGCTCGCTCGCTCACTCCTTCCGACCGTGTGTCGTCGGTATGCGATGGTGTAGTGTGTCGTAGGTAGGTCCCGCTTCATCCTCCCTCATCTTGCTGGCCCTCACGCCGTCGTTCCGAGGGCAGAGGTAGAGGGTGGGGGGACGGCGGTACGATGTCGATACGTGGTTGTTCGTTTCGTCCGTTTTTGTCTTTATCCCCTCGGTCGTTGGGCAGTCCAGCTCGTCTTTCCCGCCCTTTCTCTTGGTCACGGGGTTGGTTGGATCTTGGTGACGACGATAGGGGAGAGGGGGCTGGCTAGATGGCCTTCCAACCTCGTTCGAGAGAGGGCCAAGAAGAATACGAAGGCAGGGGAAGGGTTCATCTCATCGACCGAACCGGACTGGACCAGACCCGACCCGTTCCGACCCCCCGGAAAGGCGCGACGAGATATGTAGACAACCACAAACACGTCTCGACCAGAGGCCAAGACAGGAGGGGGTTCAAGGCTTGAATTCAATTTGATTCGGTTCGGTTCGGTTTGGTTCAGACGCGGGGTAGACGTTCCTCTGAAAGAAGGGGTAAGCAAGCAGCCGAGCAAGGAAGCAGACGAGATCCCAACCCTTTCTCAAGCCCTCGCCGGCGGACGCCCATCACGATGTCGAGGACGAGGACAGAGGAGGGGAGGGGGAGGGGCGGTGAGGAGAGAAGACGCTTGACTTAGTTGACCTTGAGCAGCTCGACCTCGAAGACGAGGGTCGAGTTGGGCGGGATGACGGGCGGGAAGCCGCGGGCGCCGTAGGCGTAGTCGGGCGTGCAGCTGTCGAAGAGCCGGACGGTCGAGCAGCACCGATGGCGGTGGGGCGGGGGGGGGGGGGGGGGGATTCAAGGAGGGGAGTCAGAAAGGCGATGCGGTGGGCAAAGATCCGAGCGAGGGGGCGGACGTACATGAGCTTGGCCTTTTCGCCGACCGAGAGTTGGGGCACACCCTCGTCCCAGCCCTTGATGACCTGTCCGACACCGACTGTGGGCGCACGCGCGCACGCGCGCACGGGAGGCAAAACGAGGTGCAAAACGAGATGGCGACGGGTCAGTCGGGTGGCGTTCTAGGCCATGTCGAAGATGGTCGAAAAGCGGGGATGCAAGGGGGATGGGGACGCACTCTGAGTCTGGAAGGGACCGCGGCCGGGCTTGCGGGACGAGTCAAACTCGGAGCCACCGTCGAGCAGGGTTCCGACGTCTGCCCGCATGCAGAGTGGGTGGGTTAGGGTGAAGGGGGTAGGGGGAGAGGAGAAGGACGACAGAGTTCAGCATGCCTGCGTCGGACCCGACACAAGGGGGCGGCAGACAGTCGGGCGAACGACGACGACGCACAGTGGATGGTGACGCGGTCACCGGGCTTGGGGAACGTCTTGCCGTCGCCGGGGGCGATACGCTGAACCTCGACGCCCATGTTTGCAAGTGTCGAACGGAAGGTGGTGGGGAGGGTGGTGGTAAAGTTGCGGCGGGACCGTGATGCAATGAAGGACGAGGTGGGCGTGCGTGTGGATGGTGGTGTGAAGCGGGAAAGACGTCGAAGCGCGGCGGCGGCGGCAGTTGTGGCGGTCTTCATCGTGCGGCGCTTTTCGCTTTGGCTGGCTGCCGGGCTGGGTTGGGCTGGGCTGGGCTGGGCTGGGCTGGGCTGGGCTGGGGACACTACAACTGGCGCTGGGGCTGCAGGTGGTGGTGTCCTGTGCGTTTGGCTTGACGTCGTTCGACCAACGACGTCCGGGCGGGCGGGCGCGAGCGAGCCAACCGTGAGGTAACTACCCTCGAATTGAGCGAGGGCAGCGCAGGGCGTCAGAAGCTGGCCGAGGGCAGGGCAGACGACGAGAGGCGTGCGCCTCTGTGGCAGAGGAGGAGGCCCAGGTCGCTCCAATGGAAGCGGTGGCGTGATCGGGGCGCGGCGCCAGTGTCCCCTTCCTCTGCCGCCGCGCCCCTCCTTGCTTTTGACTCGTCTGCACAGACCAACCTCTTCGGCGCTCTTGCCCGCAGCCACCAGCAGACCCAGCCCCATGGCCAGCCAGGCCTTCCCGCCCGCCCTCTGCTTTCTCCTTCCCGACAACGTGCTCGGCCTCCAGCATCCTTGGCGGGCGGGATCCGGTCGGTCGGTCCTGCGTCAAGCCAAGCGCAGCCAGCCGGCCGAGTGCAGGCATGTATCTTGGCACAGACGATTGAGCTGACTTGCGAGCGAGCGAGCGAGCGGTGGTGGTGGTGGTGGTGGTAATGGTGACGATGGCGCACGAGTGCTGGCCCTCCCTCGTACAAATCGCTGCCTCCGGAATGGTTGATACATATCACCTGCCCCCCACGCTCCTCTGTGACACCAGGTCCCCTCTCGACGCTGCCGCTCTCTACCGAGCGCCGCCGCACGCCGCAGTGGCAAGGTCGCAGCGTCGGACGCCGACCTCAGTCGAACGTGGTGGGCATCTCGAGGCCCCGCTGCCGGTACAGATTATGGCAGAAGTGGGCGAGCGAATACAGGGAGTCGTTGCTCATCCGCTTGTCCAAGAAGCGCCAGAAGTCGACGGACCTGTCGCCGGGCATGTTTGGCTCAATCTCGAGCGCCGGCTCGACGGGCCCAGCTGCATCGTTGGCGTTGGCGCTGGCACGAACCTTGGCCCTGGACGCAATACCGTTGGACGGCGTCGCTTTGCTCGAGTCGAACCCTCCGTCGTCGTAGTCGCTTCCCGACTCCTCGCTCAGCTCCGAGTCGTCGTCAGACAAGGGCGCCACCACCGCCGCCTTCTTGCTCCGGCTGCTGCTGGTGCCGCTGCTGCTCATCTTCTTCTTGCCGGCGGGCGTCGACGTCTTGGCCGCCTTCTTCTTGGCCTGAGGCGTGGATCTGGCCTTCTTGGCAGGTCGTTCCAGCTCGTCTGCGTCCGAAGCGTGGCCTGCCTGCGCCTGTGCCGGCGATGCCTGACCGCTGTCCTTTTCGCGCTTCTTGCCCTGCGATCGCGCAGGATGCAACGGCGAAGACGGCCCCGCGGCCTCTGACGGCGACGCCGGGATGGTCTGCAGCACCATCTTGAGCTCGCCTGGCGGCCGGTCTTTCTTGGCGGCATCGGCGACGTAGGGCCCCGCGTTTTGGAACTGCCGGCACGCGCACCACGCGTACCACAGCGTCGTCCGCAGCGACAGCACGTCCTCCTTCCAGGCGCGGAAGTCTTTCGTGAGCTGCCGGAACTCGGACGTCAGCTTGAAGCACCGCTCGATGTTCTGGGGCGACACGAAGTCGACCGCCACCTTGATGCAGTCGGCCAGGTTGCAGACCTGGTGCGCGCAGCCCGCAGGGATGAAGACGGCCTCGCCCACCTTCTGGTAGATCCTCCATCCCTGCACGCCGTACTCTCGGAACAGCTTAACGCGGCGCTCGGCATCGATAAAGTAGCGCTGCGTGTGGATCGGGTCGTCCTTGAAGGCGCCATTCGGATCGAACTCTTTGCGCAGAAACTCGCGGATCGTGTCGGCGTCTTCGGCGGGGAAGATGTCCCACGCCGCCACACCCGGTCTCAGCTCCTCGGGAACGTCGACCCCCTTGGGCGGCGAAGCGTGTAGCATGATGTTGACGGCGTCGGCCATGTCCATGTGCAGCCTCGTCGTCCCGCGGCTGCCCGGCCCCTCGTCGGACGGCCAGGCATTGTACATCTTGGGCCCGAGGTCCGGCTGGATGACGTTGCGCGGGTAGTAGCTCCCCAGATTGAGGACGCCATCGCGCCTCGTGTAGTCCGGCACGGGCACGGCCCGGTTGAAGTCGTCGTAGAGCTCCGGAAACGTCTCCTTGAAATCGGCCGAGGGCGGCCAGTCCTTGAGCTTCCACGATCCTTCGCCGAGCATCTCCTTGCGCTCCTCGGCCGAGGTGCCAAACGTCCTGAAAAACGTCTTGACGTCCGTCAGGGCCGTGATGCCGTCGTCGCGCTTTCCGAGCTCGGGGTCCTTGTCGCAGCGAACAATGTGGCAGGCATCTTGGCCATAGCGCTCGACAAAGGCTGGAGGGTCCCAGAAGTGCCGCATGTCGCGGATGCCGGTCACGAGCAGCGGCTCGCCGTGCCGCCACTCGCGCTCCATCAGGCGGTTGCTCATCTGATGCCGATCGAACTGGCGCAAGGATCGGAAGCCGACCAGTCTATCGGCCTCGAGCCCTGCCCGGTACGGCGGCAGCGTCGGCCAGTCGATCGGCTCGTGCTTGGAAACGTGATTTCGCCCGTTGAAGTTCGGCTCGGCATCGGAGTCCCACCCTCGAGACTCGCCCCAGAGATCGTCTTCCTGCAGCCCAAGTCGCTCCATGACGGCAATCTCCTCGTCGAGCATCTCGATGTCGAAGCGAGTCATGGGGATGAGGTCGTCGGCAGTGTGCACTCGGCCTCGAGAACAGATCGTCAGCCTGAGGCGCTCCTTGGGCGAGGCGTCCTGGGCAGTGTCGGGGTCGCGGAGAGCCTCCTGGCAATCCGGGCAGTACTCGCGCCCACAGCAGCGGCAGAACCAGCTGGCGGAAAAGATGCTCGTGTTGCAGAACTCGCACATCTGCCGGTACTCCGTCTCGCGTTGCCTCCGAAGAGCTTCGGGTAGCCTGGCGTGAGCGGCCTCGCGCCGCAGGATGGGCAGCAATGACTTGGCCGTCGTCCTCTGCAGCCGTGTGCAGGTATCGTCGTCGATGGACCTGTTGAACGAGCCTGAGTCCGGCACTTGCAGCTCCCGATCGGGGTTGCGAGACGAGACGAAGTGGGCCAGCGTGCTAGCGTCTGAGCTGTCGACGGTGCACGGAAAGCCTGTAGTTCGGTCGACGGGCATGGCCCTCAACCCGAGGAAGCGACACGTATCGCCTGCGATCTTGGTGGTGCAGTGCACACACCTTGGCCGATTGGCGTACCTCGGGGCCTGGCAGCTGCGAAACTGAAGCTCCCAGAGCTGCCCGCCGTGCTCGAATTGGTGCTGCTTAACCAGCTCGTCGAGCGCTGATTAGGAGAGCCGACAGCGGGAGGTCATTCAGGCTGATCAGCTGGCTGCGGTCGTCATCGAAACCAATCTCGGCAGCGTGGCACATCCGGCATCAAGAGGACTCACACAACTTGGGTACGCTGCTCGCCGGTCTCTTTGGAGTCGAAGACGATGCCACGCGGCCCCGCTTCGGGTCCACGGCCTCGCGCATCTCCTCCATCCTGCCTTGCGCCGCCATTGCAGCTTTCCGCTGGGTTGGGGCCTGGTAGACGACATCCTTGGGTGGCGGCCCTTGGTCCGCCTCCATCAGAGTCGGGTGCTCGACAGGTTCCGTGGCTTGGTGAGGCGGGGTCGAGGCGAGCGGCGGTAACGATATGGCTTGCTCTGCTTTGACGACACGGCCATGGATCGGGACGGGGATGACCTCTTCCTCGCTTGCGTGCATGGATTCGGTGGCAAAGGCGTCATCGTCGGTCTCGGGTTTGGTCGCTGGATATGACGCCGCCGGAGGTTGCGGGGCGGCGTCTGCGGGAGCGAGGTCTAGGATGGGAGCGGACATCTGGGTATATACGGATCTATGGCGGGTATCGAGCGGCTTCCGTGGTGTTGGAGTGATATGGTGGGGCGAGTGAGTCGCCAGTCGAGAGAGGGAGAAGAAGCGCGCGCTCGCTGTGCTGGGCGCTGCTGTGATGTCCGCCTGCGAGAGTCGGCCAAAGGCGGCGAGGCGGCGACCGGGTGGCGGCGAGCGACGGGTCGAGTAGCTCGAGGAGCGGCGGTGACGAGGGCGGGATCGAGCTATGGAGTTGCTCAAATATGACGCAGGGCCGAGGGTGGTGGCGGCGGTGGCGATGGTGGTGGCCAGGACGATGGCCGGCTGCTCCCGCTGGCAGCAAGAGAGAGCCGGTGGGGGCCCCCCTTTTTCCCACAGGCCTGGGCGCGTTGGTTGCGTAGGCCGGGACCCGTCCTGACCAGGCCAGGCCAGGCAGGGCGGACAGGTGGCTGGGCTCGCCACAATCTAGGGCCTCTTGCTCTGCCTTGGCTTTGCGGGGTGAGGCTGCGCAACGACGAGGCAGCGTGGTGTGCTCAAGAATGCAGATGCAGGAGCATGGCCATCGGTTTGGCAGACGTCGGAGGCATATAGGCATGCTGGCCGCTCAAGCGTAGTGCCAGGGAGGGAGCAAGCAAGCAAAGGTGGCTTGGCTTTCCGCACGGCGTCGGCCTCGGGAGACGGGCATCAAGATTTATTGAAGGGGGGGCGTACGCGTGTTGGTCTTTGAGCTTGAGCCTAGCCTGTTGGCCGGCCGGCTTGGCCTCGGGCGCAGCACAGCACAGGCCAGGCAAGCGGCTATTCCTCCACATCCGTAGTAGTCAGCGCCCAGGTAGCAGCCAACGGCGAGGCAGAGGCAGATGCAGAGGCCAGCACCTGCCCATGGACAGCCCCCCCCCATCTCTTGCCTCGCTGCCACCAACTACCATCCACCATCCGCGCCTCGTCCTCAACAAGCAAGGCACCCTGCCACCCTCACTATCAAGCATCCAACTGCCGCACCTTGGCCGCGCCCCCCCCCCCCCCACGACCATCTCCGACATGGCCATCTTTGCGGGCCTCCTCGACTTCCTCGGCCTCAACGCCGTCGGAGCTCCCCCCTTTTCGCCAGCCAGTTTCTACTCGCTCGTCCTCTTCAGCTTCAAGACCTGGCCCTTCCTCTCGCCCCTCCTCTCCAAGATCAACGCCCCCCACGGCCGCTTCAGCTTCGACAGCATCCTCAACGTCAACGGAAACCTGGCCTGGTTCCTCATGGAGATCCCCAGCCCCCTCATGTTCCTCGCCGCCGTATCCTCGCCCCCGCTCTCTCACGAGGTCAGGATCGCCACCGACTCGACTTGGCCCTCGCTCCCGTCCCTGCTCTCGCCCTCGCTGCGCGGCTTCCTCTCGCTCCCCTCGGCCAACCAGGTCCTCGCCCTCCTCTACCTCACCCACTACCTCCACCGTGCCGTCCTCTCGCCCCTCCGCTCGCCCCGCCGCTCCGCCATGCACATCTCGGTGCCCCTCTTTGCCATCGTATTCAACCTCATCAACGGCTTCCTCATGGGCAGCTGGATCGGCGGACGTAGCCCTTGGTCCGCCCTGCCCACCGCGGCCAGCGCCTCGGCCGTCGCCGCAGCATCGCACCTCCCCGACGCCGTCACCAGGAGCGCCCTCTTCTCCAAGCTCAGCGGCTCGCTCGCAAAGCCACAGGCGCTCGACGGACTCGCCTTTTCTGCCCCAGGACTGATCCCGTCGAGCGTGTGGAGCAGCCCCCTGTGGTACCTCGGCCTGGCGGGCTGGGCCATCGGCTTCGCAAGCAACGTGTGGCACGACGAGATCCTCCTCAACCTGCGCAGGCCCAAGGCAGGAGACAAGCAGGAAAAGGGCGACGAGAAGGCGGGCAAGCCAAAGTACGAGGTGCCTTACGGAGGCCTCTACCGCTTCATCAGCTATCCGAATTACGCGAGCGAGTGTGAGTGTGGTAGGGCGGTTCGCCGTAGAGGCGGGTGCGTTCCCGGTGGTCCCCTCTCGACCACGTCTGACCTGCTCCTTGCCTCCTCTCTGGCGCCGCATCTCGTCCAGGGTTCGAGTGGTTCAGCTACTCGCTGGCGGCCATCCACGCGCTGCCTCTCTTTTCGACGGCGTCGCTCTCGACGGCGGCCGGGCTCAAGGACCTTGTCGCGACGCTCACCTCGATCCCGCCGTTCCTTTTCGCGCTGGTCGAGGTGAGCGTGATGCTGCCCCGCGCCGTCAACGGCCACAAGTGGTACCAGAAGACGTTTGGCGAGCGGTACCCGCGCGAGCGCAAGGCTGTCATCGCCTTCGTCCTTTAGACGCGCCGCCGTCGTGCCATCGGCCTCGCTGTGGCGTCTTGTCGATCGGCTGGTTAGAGCAGTACCTGTAGCTCGTTCGAGATCGAGACTTGCTTGCGATACGATGTTGTCGTTGCGTCAGCCCGCACCGCCGTGCTGTCCCGTCCGCCAAGCCAGCTCCCCCTCCCTCTGTGTGTGGCTCTCTCGACGGGCTTCGATTTCCACACCGATTTTTGCAGGCCATTTTTGTGAGCGCGAGCCAGGTCGTGGGGTCCAGCTGCGCGGACGCGGGAAGCGGGAGAGGGCGCACCAGGCAGGCTTGCTTTGCCAGGCCAGGCCAGGCCAGGCCAGGACCATGGCCGCCTTCCGACCGCTCCACTTTCTTTCTCAAAGTCGAGCTCAGCACCGGTGCCAGGGGGCACTCTTTCTTCCACCTTCTCGACCAACACCAGCAGCACCTCACCTTTGCACTCGCAATCACCCTCGCATCTCCCCTTTCTCAGGCGCTCGGCAACAATCAACACGCAGGGGCTTCTCGCAGCACCAAAGACAAGCACCTCATCAACGATGGACGACGAAGAGCTCAAGGCCATTCGTGCGGCTCGCATGGCCGAACTGAGGGGAGCTGGCGGCAGCGGCGGCGGTGGTGGCGCTGGAGCCGAAGGATCCGGAATGGGTACGTTGAAACGCACCTCCGCCCTGCGATAACCCGCAATCGATGCGCTGACACCCTTCACGTCTGACTCTGCACAGGCATGGGCTCGTTTGGAGGTCCCTCGACGGGCGGAAACGGCGGAAGGCCAGAAGGTCAAAACCAGGAGGAGCAGCAGGCGCAGCAGGAAGAGATGAAACGCCAGATGCTCAGCCGCATCCTCGACAACGACGCCAGAGAACGACGTGAGTCCCTCCTCCTCCTCTTTCACCGCCTTCCTCTACCCCCCACTGCCCTCTCGACGGGACGCCATCTGAACCATGCCCCTCGTCTCGGTGGACCCCGACAGTGTCTCGTATCGGACTCGTCAAGCCGCAAAAGCACCGGCAGATCACCGACCTCCTCATCCGCATGGCCCAGTCCGGCCAGGTCCGTCAGCGCATCACCGAAGACCAGCTCATCGGTCTCCTCGACCAGGTCGACCAGGCCGGTGGAGAGTCGGCCGGCGGAAAGATTACGGTGCGTGCTGCCCAGTCGCCGTCGCGCTGCCAGTCTAGCCTACGAGGGGTTCGCCCGCTTGTTTGGCGCCGGCGTCTGACCCTGGCTCTCTCTTCCTCCTCTTGCTCGCACGCCCTCAGTTTACGAGAAAAAAGACGGCGCAGGACGACGAGGATAGCGACTTTGATCTTTGATATGGGGCCGTTGCAGCCATTGCGATGCCTGGCACCGCCACGTCGCCTCCTGTCACTGCTCTATCGGCCCAATCGCTCAATTGGATCATCCACTTCTTTCTTGGAAGGTCGTTCGTGTTCTGGCGAACGGCGTCACAAGTTCGAATGAGCATGGTCGTGTTCGCGAGGTAGGGTGCCGGATCGAATCAGGCGGCCCGCCGGTCGTCGCTCGCACGCCCCCACGTCGGACGCGGCCCTCGCTCCTCACACCCACCAACGGACCGACCGTACATACGAGATGCGGTGGGTCGAGGCTCATCGGTGGGAATCGTTCGGTCTGGAACGAGTAGGTGGGGCGGGCATCTTGAGGCTTGAATAGAACAGAGGCGGGCTGCTAGCTCACAACGTATATCTAGAGGCCCCCACCGGGCCCCCTCCCTCCAAATCGACGCCGCCACTTTCCACCATCCCTTGCCAGCAACACACATACACGCACACATACACGCACACAGTCCACCCACCCACCACCCACACACCGATCCCATCCGTGCAAGCAGGCAGCCACGATGAGGTTATCCACTGCACTCCTCGTCTCGGTCCTGTTTGTCTCCTCGACCACGCCCGTCCTGGGTGAAGTGCAGGACTCGAAGCGGTCTCTGATGAAGCCACTGGCAAGATCGCTGAACCTGCCATCGCAGTCGTCCCGCGTTCGAAAGCTCGACTTCCCGGGAACTGGCACCTTTTCGATCGGCATGGCCTTCGGGAAGCACACGTTCCGCTTCGACGCCGAGAACCCGGCGGAGCGGCACATGTGGTCGCTGGCCGAGCGCAGTGGCGCCGCGTGGAAGTCGACCACGGCAGAGGCGTGGACGGGCACCGACGTCTTCGCCCACGATGACCCGCACCTCCTTGGCGTCTGGAACGAGCTGAACTGGGACGGCCTGCAGCCCAACAAGTACATGGTCGTCGTCGGTACGTCGTCTCTCCCCCTGAATCCCCTTGCCGAACACGGGTCGCGCGCGCAAGCCAAAGACGTTTGTCCTCACTGTTCTGCTCGCCCCCGCCCCCCATCCCCTCTGGTCTGCTGCGCCCGCGCTCCAGATCCCACGGACCTGACACTTCTTGCCACTAGGCCCCTATCAACGTCACAATATTCATGTTAGCTATCTCTCCGTCAACGAGCCGCTCCACAAAGCCTAGCCCAAAAAGGCAGCACCCGCCGCGTCGCCAGGTACACGCACGAACGACTGCGAACGGCGTAGTTCGGAGGGCAGGCAGGCGGGCAAGCCACGGCGCCACCGCACACTGCCAGGCATCCACGCAAGCTCACGGATGCGTCCTGCTGTGGTCGATAGGAAAAGCCCCGTCCGTGAGCGAGGCTGGCAGGCTGGTGATGCATTGAAATGGCGAACGTGATGCGCAAGAAGAATATTGCTGCGGGACGGAGAGGCGGTGCAGCAACCGCTCAGAGTGGCTCCTCGCATTCCCCCCACCTTCCCTCGTTGGTCGATCGAGTCCAGTTGATCGGCGCAATAAAATCGAGATGGAACCATGCCCACCTTCGGGCAACGAGGGGCGCCGGCAACGAACGGCGGCAATGGTAGAGTACCCCGTTGGTTGATCGAAGTCAGCCGGCTCGGCACGGCACGGCCGGTGGGGTTGCTGCGGCGCCCCACGTCGGAGGCGGCCCCTGTGTTGCTCCTCTCACCCACCAACGGACGTTCGGTACATACGAGACGAGGTGGGGGGAGGGTCAGGATCGCTCGGCCAAGGGTGAGCAGGTGGGTTGGCTTTCGAGGCTCGACGAGATCAGGGGCCGGTTGCTGGCCTATATCTAGGGGCACCTTGAGCCTTCAAGCCGTCCCCCGTTCGACATCCATCCTTGTCTCCTCTCTCTCTCCCCCTCATAGACAGACCTACCCAGCCACCCTCGCAAAGCAAAACCAACCAGCCACGACGATGAAGTTCTTCACCCCTCTCGTCTTCTCTGCCCTCTTCGCCTGCTCGGCCGTACCCGGTCCGGTCGAGGCGCAGCAGGGGAAGACGGTTCGAAGCCGCCATTACTCGACCTACGGCACCTTTTCGATCCAGCTGTTCGGCCAGTACAAGAGCTTCCGTTTCGACGACGACGACAACGACCGCAACAATGCCTGGTCGCTGGCCGTGCGCCAGGGCAACGGTTGGCACAACATCCTTCAAGGATTTGGTACCGGCTCCACTGCGTATGCCACGGACAAACCCCAGCTCGTCGCCGCCTGGAACGACCTCAACTCGAACAACCTGAACCCGTCCAAGTACAAGATCATCCTCCGTACGTGCTCCCGACGCGGGCCCACGTGCGAGCCCAAACGTCCTTACTGACTGTCTGTCCCGCGTTTCCACCTTCCACCATGTTTGCTGCGCCCGCGCTACAGAGATCAACACCGCAGGCCAGGATGCCCGGTTCGTCGATCTCCCCCTCGACAGGGCGCTGACCCCAGCCTAAGGATGAGCCACCCGCCGAGGCCTGCGCCGACGTGCGGTCGTCGTCGCGCCGCCAGGCGCGGGCAGAAGGACCGCGAACCATCCAGTCGAGCAGACCGGTGCGCCGCCGCCGCCACCGTTGCACGTACGCAGACACCTCTGCACATCCACGTGTGCCGTGCAATGGTCGATATCTATGACTCTCCTGATCCCGGCTGCAGGCTGGTGATGCGTTGAATGGCGAGCGTGATGCGCTAAAAGTACAAGGTTGCGGGACGGAGAGAGAGAAAGAGGCGGGGCAGTGAGGCTGAGCCAGGCGGTCGTAGCGGCTGCTGCTGCTGCTGCTGCTGCTGGTGTTGAGGAATGAAAAGAAACGACGTGACCGGTCATGGCCCGGCCGCCGACGTTGCCGCGGCGGCTCTTTGCGTCTTGACGTGGAAGGTGCACTGTGGCGCCTGGCTGGTCTCTGCGACGACGGCGCTGGGCACGTCGAGCTGTGCGAGTGCGCCGCGGACGATGCCGACGGGGTACGAGAGGAAGAGCTTGACCTCCCTGGCGGTTTCCTGTGCGCCCCTCGAGGTCGACATGGCGCAGAGGGGCTTGAAGGCATTGTCCTGGAGCACGTAGACGCCGCGGTGGTTGGTGCGGAGGTTGTCGACCTGTTTGCCCCAGATGGTGGTCCAGAGCTCCTTGCAGATGAACTTGAGCACGTCGAGGGTCTCGGAGAAGCGGGCGCGCTCGCGCGAGAGGTGCTCGGCCAGGTTGGAGCCGACGTGGAAGCCGATGGCCTCGAGGCGGGCGCTGACCATGGCGTCGAGCTCGGCCGCCGCGCCCTGGCCGTCTTGGCCCGAGTGGTGGGTCGAGGGATCCGTGGTGTCGCCGAGAGGTGCGATTCCGGCGTCGGCGAGCTGCTGGCGGGCGAGTCGCTGCTTTTTCGATGCGTGGCGCGAGCTGTAGACGAGGCTGTAGACCATTTCTGTGGCGAGGAGGTGCCATGCCTGGCTGTCGACGTAGTTGGGTGGCGGTGTGGCGAGTAGTAGCGTGTCCTGGTTGATCAGCGTGGCCGCCGAGTGCGGGTCGTCGGCCGCCGACGAGGATGGGAGTGCGGCGGCGAGGTTGGGCAGCGAGTGGAGCGGTTTCGAGGCCGTCGAGAGGGTAGACTGGCCGAGCGAGAGCCTCTCTCCGCCGGCCGGTGTCCCGACTTTGGGCGATGACATGGTGTTGCGGTGTTGGGTAGGGTTTGGGGACAAGCGATGATGATGGTGGTGGTGGTGGTGGTGGCGAGAGGGGCAAAGGTGTTGGAAGTATCGAGGGTGGTGGGTGGTGGGAGGTGGGTGGTGGGTGGTGCGCTCGGGCCATGGCTAGAGGGGGCTGCCGGCCTGTGTTCGGAAGCGAGAAGCCAGATTGCCCCCCACGTGAAGCCAACCACGTACGGGAGGAAAAAAGCACAGCGGGCGACAGGGCGGCGGCGAGGCGCGCTTTGGCCCTTTGCTCGTGTGAGGACGGCGGGCAGCGAGGGACGTGTTGGCTGGGTACGGCGTGTCTGTGTTGTATTTGGCCCGCCTGCATGGACGATCCGCTCGCTGCCTCGTCTGGCAGGCAGGGCAGGGCAGGCTCCACTCTCGACGCTGGCCCTGGCCTGGCCTGGCCTGGTTGTGTTGTTCTCGGGTCCCTCGACTCGTCCATACCTCTCGCCTTGCCTTCCCCTGCTTGGCTTCTTTCTACCCCTCGACCAGGCGCATCGGGTGCTCGCTCTCCCCTACCCTCTGGACCTTGACGCGCCCACTCCCATATCGATCCTCGACCCCCGCCGCTGCCAACTCGCCACCACCGCAACTCATCCTCGCTCCAGGCCTCAAGACCACCCTCCTCGTCACCTCCGCATCGTCTCGGTTCCCAACGTCTCCAACAAAGCAGCGTTCCACGGCAGCAATAGAACCCGATCCATCCTCAGGAACCCTCGCTCGATACTACCCAGGCGCACCCATACCAATTGCAAGCCAACCGGACCGACCTGGCCAGCCACAGGCAAACGAAGCATATCTATCCAGCTCATCTTTAACCAGGCTCGTCGTCGGAAAGCAGGTCGGACAAACAAATCAGGTGAGTACGGCCCACTGCTTGCATCGCCAACGCCGCCCGCTGACTTGGCCAGACTCTGCTTGCCCGGACTCTACCCCTCTGCCAGTACCCCCTGACCGCAAACAGAGCCTATCCTAACCCCCTCGCCCGCAAGCCGGAAACAGCATGGTCGAGCCCCTCGGAGCTTCCTTTGCTGCAAACATCATGTCAGGCCAAACGAGCAGCCCCTCCGCTTCCTTGCCTGGCAAGGCCGGCGCCATTACCACCAACGCCACCGCAACGACGCCAGGCAAGGCCAAAAAGCAGGCACAGGCGCAGAGGACAAGGCTTGTCGCTGTGAGTCAACGGGACCTTCGCCACTGCAGCGCAAGTCGAGCCCCTCCCGGTGTTCGTCGACAGATGAGCTGATATGTCGCATTCTCTCGGTCACCTGCCGCTTGTTCCTGGCTCAGCTCTCGAAACACCTCATGACCCGCTTGCAGTATGCCACCTTCAAGGTCGAGCATGGCTGGGTACGTTTTCGACCCACTGCAGGCCCAGCAGCGTCCTGCCGGGAATGGTTGCTGATCCTCCGAGCGCCCTTCCCTCCTTTGCATCGCCTCGACCTGTCCCTCCACAGGCCAAGCAGTCGCTGTCGGAAGTCGAGAACCTCTACTATCACCAGAGCCAGGGCAGCAGTCGGGAAGGCCCAAAGAGCAGCGGGCCGTCGCCATCCTCGACGGGGGCAGCCGCCGACGGTCCAGCCACGCCGAGCGTCGCCTCGTCCAGCTCAATCTCGTCGCGGCTGTTCAAGGAGGCGGCCGCACTCAAGAGACCGGAGTCGGACGGCGGCGACGTCTTCGGTGGCTACGGCCTCGCCACGCCACCTGCATCGGCCGGCACACAGCCAGGCTCGTATCTCGGCGGCGGAAGCGGCAAGGCGAGCGGGGCTCAAGGTCGAGCGCCGTCCTACACGTCCGTCTCGCCGCCTGGCACGCGCGCACCAGCGCTGGGAGAAGGCTACAGCTCGAAGCGGCCATCACCGCGCGGCTCAGCACCTGGAAGCGCATCTCGACCGTCAGCAACGACGGCATCGAGGTCCACAGCATCGTCGTCTTCTGCGGCTGCGGCGACGTCCTCGGCCGGCGCATCGCCTGCCAATCCCAACGGCGCCACCAGCTACGCGGACTTTTGGAGCCGCGTCGGTTCGTCGTCGAGCCTGTCCCGGACCGGCGGCACCCCTCACCAATCGGAGCAGGGACATCGGGGATCGGTCGGCCCGACGAAGCGCGCAGCCGATACATCGCCGGGTGCTCTCGAGCCTTTGGGCCGAGGATCATCGACGGCGACGGCGGCGACAGGCAGCTACGAGGCGAGCGGCGGCAGTCCGCTGAAGCGCGTGCGCATGGATCTCTCGCCTACCAAGACTGACGGAACCAGCGGCGGCTCGCCCCTCTTGGATCGAGGCCCGAGCTTCGCCGCTAGGGGCAAGGCTTCGACGCAGGTCGCCTCAGGAGGGTCGCCAGCTGCAGTGGCGACACTGCCGCGGCTATCAAGAAGCGGTAGCCCGACCCCGAGCTCGAGATCGTGAATCCGAAACGGGCGCACCCGGGCGCCGTTGTGCAGCAGAATCAGGATGGAAAGAAGCAAGCAAGAATCGAGGTCGAGGGCAAAGGAGAGGTCGCTGTTGGAGAGGGTGGCTCGCCTCAAAGGGGACGCGACGACGGCCACAGAGGTGCGACCGAGCTTCTCCTCTAGGAGCATCTGGCCCATGATCGTCCTCGGCATGCCGGAGGTCATTGAGGCGTTCTGCTGCGGCTGGGCGTCGAAGGCCTCGCATCGTGCCCGTCAGCTGTCCATGGGATTGCAGCGACCCAACATGGGGCCACGACCATTCAACGCCCCCTCAGCATTGCTCTGAGCTCCCCGTATCGCATCCGGCACGACCAACACGTCACCCCACAATGCAACAAAGCAATGTATACCATGCCCTAGTGCCCCGCACCCGCACCCGAAGCACGTACACCCACCCGGTGGGGTACTCGTGAGTCGTGTGGCTGGACATGGATGCATCCGCCGACGACGAAGTGCTCAGATCTGTTGATGGCTCCTCGGTAGCCGGCAGACCCGGCTGGTACGTCGAGTCCTGTCCTGTGTGTATACATGCTGCCATGCGCACCGCGACTTGTCCAGCTGGGTCGTAGCCGTACATCCGGAAGTATCGTGTTGACCGCCTAGACGATGGAGCTAGGGATGTATGAATGAAGAGAGGGACGGGGACGGTCCCAGCTCGATGGAAGGCGAGGCGGCGGGCGTACAAAGGACGGTCCATCGGATACGAGCGTATTACTGCACCTCGACGACTATCGCATTCCATGATGGAGTCCGGGGTCAATGTCGAAGGCAGACCGGGCCGGGATATTCACATGTGGCGTTCTGTCCTGCGGGTAGATTGTAATGGCATGGTCTCATTGGGTCGGAAAGCAAGCGAGGCGGGGTGGGGCGGGCATGTGTTGGCTAGATCGATCAGATGCACCCCTCCTCGTCCTCGCCTCTGCCGAATCGTCTGTTTGTTCGGACAGAGCTGGAACGGCGGTGTCGTACTTGCTGTGTCCATAAGTTACTTGGCTGCTACAGTAGCCCGCGCCCATTGCACCCGAGCAGGAGAGGTACATACGTGTGCAGCTTCCAGGACAGACGAGCAATCATGGCGCCAGCGATGTCAATAGACTGAGACTTGGCCCACGCATCGTCGCCGCTTGCGAGTCGGTGCCGCAGCTAGCAGGCTAGGCTAGCATGGGCGTCGACTTGTTGGACCGTGAAAGCTCCAGGCGATTTTCTGTTGCGCTAGCGGTGCAAGTGGTAGATGAGATTCAGCCGATGAGTCGACCCCGCACCCGCACCATGTCAATCAATCAGGCAATCTACCCGGACCATTTATCTTGTGCGGGTTGCCTGGCGAGCGCCGATGGTAGATTGCACAGCAGGTGGCCCACGTCTCTTTATTGGTTGACTGTGGACCATGGGAAAGATTGGCTTGAGATAGATTGCCATCTCGCTCGCCTACTGGCCTGGCCTGTGCACCGTATTGCACTCGCGCCGCGCAGTAGATCGTCCCGGGATCCATTACTGCGTAGCTCGCGCGCTTCGGGACCGGAAGAGGCCGATCCAACTCGATGTCCACCTTGCCCTTCCCCTCCCGTTTCTCGCTGCTTTGAGCCGCACACACAGAGCGAGTCGATGGGATAGAGATGCGGACCCGATGTCGTATTGAAGATGATCGAACGACGACGATCTGCGGGCTGACCAGGCCGTCAGCCCGCTGCCGATGTTGAGCAACTGCTGACGGGCAGGTTCCAGGAGAGTCAGCCAGCCTCGCCTGCCCTTGCACGCTCGCAGATCGGTCGACCAGCCATCTACACTCACCCAGGGCAGGCAGGTACATGGGACGGAAGAAGAAGGAGTCCGAACAACTCGCCGCGCTCCCTGTGAACCGGAGACATGTCTGCGGGAGGGAATCGAGCCTGGGCCGGGTGTGGAAACGGGCGGTTGTCGTTTTTTGCTCTTTTTCACACCGACCCCTCACGCCTGGCAGGCATACATACATGGGATACAAGTACTGGGCGGACAAGCAAGGGAGCGAGGGGGGCTGCGGCGGGAAGGCGCAGCCTAACAACAGATTGCAAGCCGGCAGGAAGGGGGGCGCTCGAGGCAGGCAGGGGGGAGGCACCCCCCTCACCCCTGCCCTTTCTCGCCTAAAGTGCATTCCGCGCCCGTGCCACACCTTATGCGATCCCGACGCCACTACTGCCTACCACCACCATCAGCCACGGCCCGAACGATGGCCCGGAAGCATACTGTAGGTGAACCCCACCCATGGTCGTCGGCTTGCCGGATCAGGCTGAACAACCATCGCGGGAGGACAGATGGATGTACCAAGAGGGGATCTCGGTGCGGGCCACGCTGTGAACCAACCACGTACACTATCTAGGTGACTGTCGGCAGACCCTTCCTCGCCTTGCCCCATCCGAAGTGGTCCGTCACGATCGCCGACTTTCAGAGGCACACGCCCGGCCTGGGCTCCATCTGGTTCAGCTGCTCTTCGGTACGGAACGGGTGGACGTCCTGCAAAGAAGAGGACGAGGAAGGCTTCAGCGAGACTAGCGGTCGACTAGCTCGGTGGCACATGCTCTCGGGTACAAGTCGGACCGGCCAACGTGATCATGGGTTGATGACGCGTCGCCAACCCACCCCTCCATACCTAGGCCAGGCTACCGACTGGTACATAACCACATGTCCTCAAGATCTGCTCGTCCAAGCTGCGCCGAGCCGTCCAGCATGCGGAGGCGGGCGCCGAGTCAGCATATCTCCCCTCGTTTCGCCAACTCTGGAAGTGATGGATCACTCGTCTGGCATCGTGTTTGGCGAAAGCAGGCCGCAGACAGCCCATGCAAGAGCAGCATGCCCGGCACATGGCCAAGCAAGGCGTGAATCCATCCGATCAAAGCGGGCAGGCGGCGCAGTACCGAGATGAGAAGGGCTGGCTGGCCATGTTGAGTGAATCGCGATACGTATTGCACCACCGCCCTTTGCCGCCCGCGCGCCATTTGTCGTGGCTCAGCTCGCGGCGAAAGCGGCGATGACCGCAGACGGAGCTCGACCACGAGGAGTCACCCCTTGACAGTTTGGCGAGTGTGCCTGCCGACACCTTCGGGTCGGGTGCCGTACCTTCGGAAGCAAGGCAGCGCGCGGCCATAATCTGGCTCGGTCGCTGGCACGGCCGGCTTCTGGACCTGACTAGGCACAACCGAGCAGGGAGGATCCTCGGTCGACTAGATTGAGCTCGAGCTCGTCGCCGGATCGGTGTTTGCAACAGGTAGGCAGGCAGGCAAAGCAAGGTCCAGCTCAACGCCATCCCGAACCAAACTCGGAATGACGTTCCGAGCCCGTCCGTCTTCCCGGCCATCGTGCGCCGCGCCTGTTCCCATCTCGCTCAGCGCATTGGGTGCCAGATGACTGTCCAAGGGTTTGTCCTCACTGCAAGGGTCCGAGAGCGCGTGTGCAGAAGGCAGGCGAGCTGTATTCGTACACAACCTTGAGAACCTTGAGCTTCGTTGGAGTGGCGGCCCGGGACGTGATCGCCTGCGTCGCCCATTGATACGTAGGCCGGCGCATTCTAGGGTGGAGCGACCAACGTGGCGCAACGGTAGCGTTTGACCTGGCCAGACCGAGGATGCTCAGTTTACCCGCTGGTTGGTCCCACCAGCCGATGGTGTGACAAACCTGCTCCACGCGCCGTTCGATCAAGGGCTAAGTAACACAGTCTTCTCGTCAAGAGGTCCGATATCGGCCCACTGTGCAGAGCTGAAGCTGTCTTTCCATTTCGTCGGGATCGGGACCTCGAAGCGAAGGAGGAGGCCGAGGGCGAGGGAAACAGGGCCGAGGTGCGAGGGCAGCGAGACGAGGGGATGCTGGGAGTCGCGGCTCGCGCTGGTGCGCTGCGGCAGGTATGTAGGCGTGCTGGAGATTCGACGCAAGTCCCCCTTGCACAGGCACAAGGCAGAGCCGAGCAGGACGACCCACCCCTTGTGGCTTGCGCCTCGCCGCTCCCAGTTTTGCGCCACTTTGGCTTGCCTGGTCGTTCGTTGACCTTCCTCTCGGTCGTGGTCGATGCTGCGGCTGCGCACCCGGCCATGGGGGCTCAGGCGAGGCATGCCCCCGCGCAAGCACAGCGTAGCGTGGTCCGTTGGTCGATGGCCACCGGAGTAATTCTTTCTGGAGTGCCGAATGCTCGTCTGCCCGGCCGGCTCGGTTCAGGACGATATGTAGCCTGGAGCTTGGCATCGGCCAGCCCGAGGCAGTGGCTGGCATGTGGGTACGACAGTTTCCATGCGCAGACCTCGCCCATGACGATCGATGCCTTTGTCGTCGATTGTCGACGAGGACGAGACGGGAAGGTCGACGGTGCTGCGGCGTCATTATTTCGACAACCCTAGTGTGCAAGGCCGAGGACGCAGGGGAGGGGCCTCATACCCGAGGGACCCGACAACAATGACCGACGAGCCGGTCGAGAAAGGGGGCATGTGCTCGAACGGCATCGCCAAAACATGGGGTGCGCCACAAAAAGTACGTGTGGCCGGCCGCAGCGCCGGCCCACGCTCGACGCCGACGTGAAGCCGGCCTCCTCCCCAGAGAGAACGTATGTACGTGTGCGTGTACCTAGAAAGCCGGCCGACCGACCGGCCGTCGAGGTCCACTCCACTCCTACGGAACGGAAGCTGGGCATGGGTACCTACATGCAGCCCGAGCGCCACCATCGACTCGTCCGACCTTGACTGACCCGTGTGAAGATCCAAGCAAAATTCCGAATCGAGAACGAGGAGGTCTGCGAGCGGCGCCAGACCGCAGCGGCCCTTGCCAACAAACATGGGTGTGGGGGCAAGAGCCCGGTTACTGCGCGCGACCGGGGCGGTGCAGTCGCCCGAGGCAGAGGGAGAAAGGTACGGTGGCTGGCGGACAACGCGCGGAGATCCGAGCTGCCGCCTTTCAAGCGCCGGCCCAACTCGGCCGTCGTGGACCATCCTCGGCACC